ATTCAAATAATTGAACCAAGGAAGGTAAATAAGTTGTTTAAAAATAACAGAAATTTCGGTTAATCACTCAGCACTACATTGTCGAGAAGGAACCTGCAAGTAAGCATTTTGTTGGACGGTGTATACCATGTGTATCCCGTACGACTAATAGTTACACAAACTGTTTGTCTGAGATAGACACTTAAACCCTCCCTGGCTCGTCATATTGATTTGTGCTTACAGCATTAGCACTCATTTAGAATGGGAGGCATGTCCTCACATTAACACACAGACAGACCACGTAGACTAGATACACACACACACACACACACGTCTCCAGACCATGTAGACTAGATACACACACACACACACACACACACACGTCTCCAGACCATGTAGACTAGATACACACACACACACACACACTCCCACGTCTCCAGACCATGTAGACTAGATACACACACACACACACACACACTCACACGTCTCCAGACCATGTAGACTAGATACACACACACACATCTCCAGGGCATGGTGATACACACACAAACACAAATCGATAGGGAGTAGTTTCCTAAGGCTACTAAATCAGTCAGTAATAACACAGCTACTATGTATTCAGAGAGTATATTTAATGAACATCACTCTGCCGCATTATGTATACTGAACAAAAATATAAACGCAACACGTAAAGAGTTGGTCCCATGTTTCATGAGTTTAAATAAAAGATCCCAGACATTTTCTATAAGCACAAAAAGCTTATTTCTCTACAATGTTGTGCACAAATTTGTTTACATCCCTGTTAGTGAGCATTTCTCATTTGCCAAGATAATCCATCCACCTAACAGGTGTGGCATTTCAAGAAGCTGATTAAACAGCATGAACATTACAAAGTTGCACCTTGTGCTGGGGACAATACAAGGCCAATAAAATGTGCAGTTTTGTCACACAACACAATGCCACAGATGTCTCAAGTGTTGAGGGAGTGTGCAATTGGCATGCTGACTGAAGGCATATCCACCAGAGCTGTTGCCAGAGAATGTAATGTTCATTTCTCTACCATAAGCCACCTCCAACGTCGTTTTAGAGAATTTGGTAGTACGTCCAACCGGCCTCACAACCGCAGACCACGTGTAGCCACACCAGCCCAGGACCTCCACATCTGGCTTCTTCACCTGCGAGATCGTCTGAGACCAGCCACCCGGTCAGCTGATGAATCTGAGGAGTATTTCTGTCTGTAGTAAAGCTCTTTTGTGGGGAAAAACTCATTCTGATTGGCTGGGCCTGGCTCCCCAGTGGGTGGGCCTATGCCGTCCCAGGCCCACCCATGGCTGTGCCCCTGCCAAGTCATGTGAAATCCATAGATTAGGGCCTAATGAATTTATTTCAATTGACTGATTTCCTTATATGAACTGTAACTCAGTAAAATCGTCAATTGTTGCGTTTATATTTTTGTTCAATATATTTATGTTGACTTGATTCTTTCTAATATTCTGCCAGTTTATTTCTACAGTATAATTTAACACAACCAACAACACCTCTCACTAAAACACATATGAAAACATTTTAAGTTTTACCAAACCTTTTTTATTCGCATAGAAAAACAAAGAAACCAAACAAACAGTTCTCACCGTTTAGATTTATACATAAGACTTTATTATTTCTGAAAAGCTGAGAGTATTTAAAGGTTTCTAAGACAGTGAAGAAGGCTTTAGAGCTTTTCTCTTCCACCAGAATGCTTTTCCCAGTGGAGTTTTGGATTGGAAAAAGACGTAAGGCTAATGAAGTTAAGCATGGTTTATTAAAAACTATAGTCTATAATCTATACATAACTCACTCTAACAAGGTCTTTCTCTTTACTTCTGCTATCATTCTCTCCCTCCTTTTCCCCTCACTCCCTTTATTCTCCTCTGCATTATGATTAAGTTGTGATCAAGAGGCCAGAACATTGTTATAATATACATATATTGACAGAGATTCTCTTCCGAGTGTGTGGTTAGTGCAGAGATGCACAGTGCTGCAGTTTGGTTCATCCCTGATTTCTACAGAACTCTTTGCCCTCTACCTGTGACCCGACTGTGTCTGTCTCACTGGATCTGAATGACAGACTATGATGTACATGGAGATACTAAGTAGCTATAATGGTACAGTTATGACGGCTATTACAGCTTGCTGTGTTCAGATGTTTGTGGGGTGAATGGGTACATCAGTGTAAACGCATGTTTTTTTCCTTTATCTTTCCTGATGGCAACCAATGGACCAATAGAAAATGTATTTTACTTTGGGTTGATTTACTTAATTTGATTGCAGACATTTCTGTATGATTGTCCAGAAACATGCCTTTTCTTTTCATATTGTGATGACATGCAATAAGCAAAAGGATATATCCTTTAATATTGGTGTTCTGTTTGTGAGGGGAAACGCCAATATGTTGAATTATTTTATTCCATGACCTTGTAATAACCATTTATCTATTTAAAGATGGAATGTTTAAAGTTTGAGTACACTCTTTTCACTTTCTGCTCCTTCCTGTACTAAAATATCAATGATGGATCAAGTAGAATAAACTGGTCCTGTTAAAAAGTACCAGGGTTTGGATGAGGGCCTAGCTATATTCCTACCATTTTCACACTTTCCCTCTTGTATTAATCCCCCCTGCCCCCACCCCCCTTCTCTCTTCTCTTCCTCAATTTTATTCCATCTCTCTTTTTAACCTCCCTTCGCTTCCACCTATCTCTCTCATTAGAGTCCCCGGGCAGGTAGCGCTGCGCTGCAGTTGGACCCTGTCCCTCAGAGCTGCTATCAGCTCTTCTCAGCCAGAACAAAGTCTTCTCTCTCTTTCCTTCTCTCTTTTTCTCTCGCTCTCTCTCTGCAGCAGCACAAAATAAACAGAGAAATAAAATAAAAAAACGAGAGGAGAAAGAGAAAAGTAGAGGTCTAAGATAGGAACATATATATTTTTTTCAGTCAGTGATGATGAGTTGTTGTTATGACTAGTATCATCAAACCCTTACCTGTGTGTCTACACAGTGCATACAGAAGTAGGTAGTAGTTTACACTACATGACCAAAAGTATGTGGACACCTGCTCGTCTAACATCTCATTCCAAAATCAAGGGCATTAATATGGAGTTGGCCCCCCTTTTGCTGCTGTAACAGCCTCCGCTCTTCTGGGAAGGCTTTCCACTAGATGTTGGAACATTGCTGCGGGGACTTGCTTCCATTCAGCCACAAGCGCATTAGTTTTGGTCGGGCACCGATGTTGGGCGATTAGGCCTGGCTCGCAGTCGGCGTTCCAATTCATCCCAAAGGTGTTCGATGGGGTTGAGGTCAGGGCTCTGTGCAGGCCAGTCAAGTTCTTCCACACCAATCTCGACAAACCATTTCTGTATGGACCTCACTTTGTGCACGGGGCATTGCCATGCTAAAACAGCAAAGGGCCTTCCCCAAACTGTTGCCACAAAGTTGGAAGCACAGAATCGTCTAGCATGTCATTGTATGCTGTAGCGTTAAGACTTCACTTCACTGGAACTAAGGGGCATGCCCGACCCATGAACTAAGGGGGCATGCCCGACCCAGCCCGACCCATGAAAAACAGCATCAGACCATTATTCCTCCTCCACCAAACTTTACAGTTGGCACTATGCATTGGTGCAGGTAGCATTCGTCTGGCATACGCCAAACCCAGATTCTTCCGTCGGTCTTCCAGATGGTGAAGTGTGATCACTCCAGAGAACACGTTTCCACTGCTCCAGAGTCCAATGGCGGCAAGCTTTACACCACTCCAGCCGACGCATGGCATTGCGCATGGTGATCTTAGGCTTGTGTGCGGCTGCTCGGCCATGGAAACCCATTTCATGAAGCTCCCGACGAACAGTTCTTGTGCTGATGTTGCTTCCAGAGGCAGTTTGGAACGCGGTAGTGAATGTTGCAACCGAGGACAGACAATTTTTACAGGCTACGCGCTTCAGCACTCGGCGGTCCCGTTCTGTGAGCTTGTGTGGCCTACCACTTCGCGCCGGAGCTGTTGTTGCTCCTAGACGTTTTCACTTCACAATAACAGCACTAACAGTTGACCGGGGCAGCTCTAGCAGAAATTTGAAGAACTGACTTGTTGGAAAGGTGGCATCCTATGATGGTGCCACGTTGAAAGTCATTGAGCTCTTCAGTAAGGCCATTCTACTGCCAATGTTTGTCTATGGAGATTGCATGGCTGTGTGCTCGATTTTATACACCTGTCAGCAACGGGTGTGGCTGAAATAACCGAATCCACTAATTTGAAGGGGTGTTCACATACTTTTGTATATATAGTGTAGCAATCTACACAAGTGCTTATCTCTGGAATATATTTAATCAATAAGGCCAGAGGAGGTGTGGTATATGGCCAAAATACCACGGCTAAGGGCTGTTCTCCGCACGACGCAACTCAGAGTGCCTGGACACAGCCCTTAGCCGTGGTATATTGGCCATATATCACAAACCCCTGAGGTGCCTTATTGTTATTATAAACTGGTTACCAACTTAATTAGAGCAGTAAAAATAAATGTTTTGTCATACCCGTGGTGTACGGTCTGATATACCATGGCTTTCAGACAATCAGAATAACCACCCAGTTTATAATTGCCTATATCGTCTGCCTACGCCTAAACATCATCCTCAAACTACTAACTGTCTTATATGGAACAGAAGGAAGAGTACAGTAGTTGTAAAGATACTGAGACCTCAAAACAATGTATAAGCATGAGAAGCATTGAAATATTTATAGTAGGTCAATACCCGGGGTGGTACGACTTGACTGGCACTTCTGTCACCCAGTTAACAGGTATGTATGGTGGCCCTGTGGGGACAAAGCAGCCCAAGCCAGTCAGCTAAGTAACAGATCAATAAGATTCAGAGCAGAACTGAGGAGGCACAGAGGGTACTTTGGAACCAAGGAGATCAACCAATCGCCTGCTAGAACCGTATCCTTAGAACGGCATCCAACCGGTGGGGGGTGGGAGAAGTGTGTCTGAGATTATGTCATCACGTGTAGGTGTAGTCTATATCCGGGATCACCCCTTGCTCCCGGAAACCCCGGTTGGTCCCGTAGCCCGCCGTGTGACCCAGTTGGGTGATGATGCTGTTGTGACTCTGGTTGCTCCGGTAGGTGCCGTTACTGTGCGTTGAGGGGAAGATGGTGTGCACGTAGGTCACATCCTCTCCTCCTTTGGGCTGCAGTGACTGATGGGTCGTCATGGGCGTCATGGCGAAGCCGGGGCTTCTGATCTCCAGGATGGAGCTGTCCTTCTTAGTGCCCGACTCCACGTAGTCATCGTACGGCTTCCCGACCCCGCGCTGACCTCTGACCCCGTAGGAGTCTGTTTCCCCGGAGACGTACCCGGCGCGCTGGCCGTACCAGCAGAAGATGCTGAAGATGAGTATGAGGGAGACGAGGGCCGTGGCTCCGCCGATGATCTCGGCCAGGGGGAGGGCTGCCATCTCTGTGTCCGAGTCCTCACCCCTGTCTCCCCCCTCGGGGCGCAGAGCCTCCCCCGTCTCTATCTGAGCGCAGACGGGGCTCTGGTCCGTTGTGTCCTTTTCCTGCTGCGGTGACCTCTGTGACCCTCCAGAGTGGGAGGAGGAGGAGCGCAGGGGGAGCAGACAGATGAGGTAGTGTGATCGTGGCGTGAGCTGGGTCAGTAGGTACTGCTGTCTCTCCCCGGGGACCAGCGTCTCTGTGATGGAACCCAGAGCGGCGCTGCTGCCCAGCCTCAGCCACGACAGCCGGAAGGAGGGTGCCGGCCGTGGGCACAGCCACGTCACCTGCACACTGTCCGCCGACAGATGCTTCACCGTGAGTTCTAGAACGTTGTGTAAGGCGTGCCCCCCCGCCTCTCCTCCCGGTGGTAACGGCATCACCAGGCCCGGCCGTATGGCCCTAAGGGTGAACAGAGAACCCTGGGTCGGGGGGAAGGTGGTAGTACTAGAGACAGTGTCAAGTCCCATACCTCCTCCTCCTCCTCTAACCCCCACACTGGTCACCCCTCCTGGGGGGCCTTCACACTGGCCCATGAGCCCAGAGAGGTCCCTGAGGGCCTGGCCTCGCACCGCCTCAGGCCCGTGGCAGGTCAAGCCCCGTACCGTCACCGCCGCTCCGCGGCCATACAGCCAGGCGTGGAGCCAGCGCAGGTTGCAGCCACAGTACCAGGGGTTCCCCCGGAGCAGCAACAGCTCCAGGCTATCCGTGTCCCTCAGCAGCCCCCGGGGCAGAGTGGTCAGGTTGTTACCTGCATGGATGGAAAAGGACAGAAGTCACTCTAAGGGGTGGGACCTGATGTAGAATAATATACTCATCTGTGGCTCATTTTGGGAGTAGTTCACTAAAGTTACTCTGCAATATACAGAGTATATGTCTAGAGCAATGTCAAATCTTAGCATTATAGCAACAGTGAATTAGTTGTATCTGTTCCAATTAGGGTTGAATAGCAGGAACCGGTTTACAGAGATGTACCGCCCAAACCCATTCCCTTTTCCCGGTATAAATAACTGCGAGAAACCGGTAAATTATAATAAATGATTTATATGAACAGCATGACTTGACATGGGCCACGGCTACTCTCTGCTATCTGATCAATCATCAACTGGTGGTGACAGACAGCGCATCTCAGAATGAAGCAGAGTTCACAATGCATATATCATCTCATCATGGTCACTTTCTTTCTTGTGAAAGGTAGGACTACATTTGCTGCAGCATAGCCTATGCTACAGTAATATATAAGGATTGAATGCACGTCCAATTTACACATCTCCATCTGGCTTTTGGGGGTCACCTTATTTTTTCGTTGTAAAGATGCATTTTTTTTTATTGCAACTGCAGAGTAAAAAAAAAAGCCTATCACTATAATATCATTGTTTTAAATCAGTGTGCACGCGAGCATTCTCAGTCTTTCTCTCACCATCATATCCATACAAATTCCATCCATAATAGGCCTAATCCTATTCAAGATATATATTTGAAGAACAAGTATTTGATACACTGTCGATTTTGCAGGGTTTCCTACTTACAAAGCATGTAGAGGTCTGTAATTGTTATCATAGGTACACTTCAACTGTGAGAGACGGAATCTAAAACAAAAATACAGAAAATCACATTGTATGATTTTTAAGTAATTAATTTGCATTTTATTGCATGACATAAGTATTTGATCACCTACCAACCAGTAAGAATTCCGGCTCTCACAGACCTGTTAGTTTTTCTTTAAGAAGCCCTCCTGTTCTCCACTCATTACCTGTATTAACTGCACCTGTTTGAACTCGTTACCTGTATAAAAGACACCTGTCCACACACTCAATCAAACAGACTCCAACCACTCCACAATGGCCAAGACCAGAGAGCTGGTGAGAAGGCAACAACTGTTGGCGCAATTATTAGAAAATGGAAGAAGTTCAAGATGACGGTCAATCACCCTCGGTCTGGGGCTCCATGCAAGATCTCACCTCGTGGGGCATCAATGATCATGAGGAAGGTGAGGGATCAGCCCAGAACTACACGGCAGGACCTGGTCAATGACCTGAAGATAGCTGGTACCACAGTCTCAAAGAAAACCATTAGTAACACACTACGCCGTCATGGATTAAAATCCTGCAGCGCACGCAAGGTCCCCCTGCTCAAGCCAGCGCATGTCCAGGCCCGTCTGAAGTTTGCCAATGACCATCTGGATGATCCAGAGGAGGAATGGGAGAAGGTCATGTGGTCTGATGAGACAAAAATAGAGCTTTTTGGTCTAAACTCCACTCGCAGTGTTTGGAGGAAGAAGAAGGATGAGTACAACCCCAAGAACACCATCCCAACCGTGAAGCATGGAGGTGGAAACATCATTCTTTGGGGATGCTTTTCTGCAAAGGGGACAGGACGACTGCACCGTATTGAGGGGAGGATGGATGGGGCCATGTATCGCGAGATCTTGGCCAACAACCTCCTTCCCTCAGTAAGAGCATTGAAGATGGGTCGTGGCTGGGTCATCCAGCATGACAACGACCCGAAACACACAGCCAGGGCAACTAAGGAGTGGCTCCGTAAGAAGCATCTCAAGGTCCTGGAGTGGCCTAGCCAGTCTCCAGACCTGAACCCAATAGAAAATCTTTGGAGGGAGCTGAAAGTCTGTATTGCCCAGCGACAGCCCCGAAACCTGAAGGAACTGGAGAAGGTCTGTTTGGAGGAGTGGGCCAAAATCCCTGCTGCAGTGTGTGCAAAAAAGACCTACAGGAAACGTATAATCTCTGTAATTGCAAACAAAGGTTTCTGTACGAAATATTAAGTTCTGCTTTTCTGATGTATCAAATACTTATGCATGCAATAAAATGCAAATTAATTACTTAAAAATCATACAATGTGATTTTCTGGATTTTTGTTTTAGATTCCATCTCTCACAGTTGAAGTGTACCTATGATAAACATTACAGACCTCTACATGCTTTGTAGGTAGGAAAACCTGCAAAATCGGCAGTGTATCAAATACTTGTTCTCCCCACTGTATATAGAACCAGTCAAAAGTTTGGACACACCTAATCATTCCAGGGTTTTTCTTTTTTTAAACTATTTTCTACGTTGTAGAATAATAGTGAAGACATTAAAACTATGAAATAACACATGGAATGTAGTAACCAAAAAAGTGTTCAACAAATCAAAATATATTTTATATTTTATATTCTTCAAAGTAGCCACCCTTTGCCTTGATGACAGCTTTGCACACTCTCAACCAGCTTCAACCAATGTTATATACAGCAGCCAATAGAACTCACTGGAAGGTTGAAAGAAGAGAGAACGTGCGATGGTGATAGGCTATAGCAGTTAATTATTCAGACCCATAACCACTCAGTCTTCCTGAAGAGGAGTGAAAGCCGGCTGCATTTATTCTAGTCCTATATTATGCAAGCATGCCATTAGAATGATGAAGATAAGGACAACGAAACGTATTTAATTAACTGTTGAAAGTGCGGAAGGAATGAAGCAACAGTAGAGAAAGAGGTAGGCTAATATGCACATTGCACAACATTAGGGGAAATATTATGAAAGGAATATATGCGTCAGCCTACTAATTATAAAATGTTAAATGGGCCCTATTATCAAAATTAAAATCAAATTTGCTAGCCTATAATTGTAACTTTATAGGCCGCATGTGCTGCACCAGCATCGCATGTTCTCTCCCAGCTTCATGGTTTGAACAAGGTCTGTAATAACAGTGGATATAATACAGTATAATACAGTAATATAGTAGAGTAATAAAGTCCAAAAAGATGAGCCTACTGGAGCTTGTTTCATTTATTTACTCAAGAGAGCATATCTACATCTATGGGCTTTTATGTTTTTCTGTTGTGCGTAATGTGCGGTAGCCTATATCATAGGCTATGTATTGGATAACGGCACTATCTTTTGGACTTTTTTGGGCTTGGGATAACAAAATGTATTTTAAGGTAGGGCTCATAAAATGTCTTATGTATGGCTCATCAGGCTCAGGTAGCATCATACTGGTTGGTTACCTGACAGGTCCAGCCTCTGCAGCCTTCTCATCCCGTCAAGTGTCCCCCGGGGCACGTGGATCAGCCCGTTGTCCTGCAGGTGCAGCCTCAGCAGGTGTGTGCTGGGCAGGTTGATGGGCGGGGCCTGCAGGGCATTGCGGACTAGCGACAGCTCTGTGAGATTGGCCAGGCGGGAGAAGGTGTCGTCCGCGATGCGAGTGTTGGCCAGGAGATTCCCGTCCAGGACCAGGCGTCTCAGTGAGGCCAGGCCCCGGAAGGCGTGGGTGGGGATGGTGTTGATGCGGTTGTCGTCTAACCTCAGCTCCTCTAAAGAAGCCGGGAGGCCGGCTGGGATGCTGGACAGGTGGTTCCGGGAGAGGAAGAGTAACCTCAGCCGCGGCGTGCCGGAGAAGGCCCGCTCCTGGATGCTCACCGTGGAGATGGAGTTGTCGTCCAGGTGTAGCCTCTCTAGCAACGGTAACCTGGCCAACGCCGTGCGCGGCAATGTCCGAATGTTGTTGTCTTGCAGGTGTAGTTCCCGTAGCGATGGTGGCAGGTGTATAGGAAACTCGTCTAGTTGGTTGGCGTAAAGGTAGACCACACGGATACTACTGCTGCGCTCTAATGACGGCGGCAGGCCGGAGTTGGCTAACCGGTTACTCTGTAGGTAGAGAATGGTAGCTGTTAATGGTAGCGGAGGGATCATGCTCAGGCCCCGGTCGTTACAGTAGACGAAGCCCTCGTCACACCGGCACACCGACGGGCACGGGAAGTCTTCCTCGCCTTCCTCCATGGCTACTGCTGCTGCCGCCAACTCCAGCATCTCGGCCAATAGAGTCAGGCACAGGAGGAGCAGGAAGAGCCAATCACGGAGCTCGGTCAGACTTTCGGTAGCCATAGTCCTGCCCTCTGTGAAAGGGAGAGAGACAGAGCGAGAGGGGAGAGAGAGAGAGAGCGAGAGGGGAGAGAGAGAGAGAGTTAGAGAGAGAGGGGAGATAGAGAGAGTGAGAGACAGAGCGAGAGGGGAGAGAGATAATGAGAGTTACAGCTCATTTCTATCCAGATGTTCTTGAACATTTTGAAATTCTTGTTGTGTAAATGTGTTGTCATCTTTGAGTTTTAGTGATGTGATGTTTTTTGTCTGGTTTTTGAACGAAGAAAGTGCTTGAGAGAGTGTATGAATAGTCGATGGAGTGGAGCTGTCAGGATAATATGGGTCACTCCTACCAACCAGAAGCTGTCAGGATAATATGGGTCTCTTCTACCAACCAGAAGCTGTCAGGATAATATGGGTCTCTTCCTACCAACCAGAAGCTGTCAGGATAATATGGGTCTCTCCTACCAACCAGAAGCTGTCAGGATAATATGGGTCACTCCTACCAACCAGAAGCTGTCAGGATAATATGGGTCACTCCTACCAACCAGAAGCTGTCAGGATAATATGGGTCTCTTCCTACCAACCAGAAGCTGTCATGATAATATGGGTCACTCCTACCAACCAGAAGCTGTCAGGATAATATGGGTCACTCATACCAACCAGAAGCTGTCAGGATAATATGGGTCTCTTCTACCAACCAGAAGCTGTCAGGATAATATGGGTCACTCCTACCAACCAGAAGCTGTCAGGATAATATGGGTCACTCCTACCAACCAGAAGCTGTCAGGATAATATGGGTCTCTCCTACCAACCAGAAGCTGTCAGGATAATATGGGTATATTCTACCAACCAGAAGCTCTCAGGATAATATGGGTCACTCCTACCAACCAGAAGCTGTCAGGATGATATGGGTCACTCCTACCAACCAGAAGCTGTCAGGATAATATGGGTCACTCCTACCAACCAGAAGCTGTCAGGATGATATGGGTCTCTTCTACCAACCAGAAGCTGTCAGGATAATATGGGTCTCTCCTACCAACCAGAAGCTGTCATGATAATATGGGTCACTCCTACCAACCAGAAGCTGTCAGGATAATATGGGTCACTCCTACCAACCAGAAGCTGTCAGGATAATATGAGTCACTCCTACCAACCAGAAGAGGAAGGGACATTGGAGAGGGAGAGAGTGGGCGAGGGACGGACATGGAGGGGAAGTGAAGAGTGTGAGAGGAACACAGAGAGATGGGAAAAAGTTTAATGAGAAGAACTGGAGAGAGAAAATTAATGAAAGGATTTTAGATTTTTTAATTCTCATGATGAGAGAGAAACATTAGGAGGGGATTTGAGGGAATTAGAATCAGATTAGCCTAGGTAATATTGGTGATGTTGATTTTCTGGAAAACATATTTCTCTAAATGTACTGTTGGTAACCCCCCCCCCCCCCCCCCCCCCCTTTGATACATTTGAATAAATCATCAATTGATTCATACAGTGCCTTCGGAAACCCCTTGACTTTTTCCACATTTTGGAACGTTACAGCCTTATTATGAAATTAATTAAATTGTTTTTCCCCCTCATTAATCTACACACAATACCCCATAATCACAAAGCAAAAACAGTTTTTTTTTTTTTTTTTTTGCTAATTTATTAAAAATAAAAAAACTGATATCACATTTACGTAAGTATTCAGATCCTTAACTCAGTACTTTGTTGAAGCACCTTTGGCAGTGATTACAGCATCGAATCTTCTTGGGTATGACGCTACAAGCTTGGCACACCTGTATTTGGGGAGTTTCTTCAATTATTCTCTGCAGATCCTCTCAAACTCTGTCAGGTTGGATGAGTAGCGTTGCTGCACAGCTATTTTCAGGTCTCTCCAGAGATGTTAGATCGGGTTCAAGTCCGGGCTCTGGCTGGGCCACTCAAGGACATTCAGAGACTTGCCCCGAAGCCACTCCTGCGTTGTCTTGGCTGTGTGCTTAGGGTCGTTGTCCTGTTGGAAGGTGAACCTTCGCCCCAGTTTGAGGTCCTGAGCACTCTGGAGCAGGTTTTCATCAAGTATCTCTCTGTACTTTGCTCCGTTCATCTTTGCCTCGATCCTGACTAGTCTCCCAGTCCCTGCCACTGAAAAACATCCCCAAAGCATGATGCTGCCACCACCATGCTTCACCGTAGGGATGGTGCCAGGTTTCCTCCAGACGTTACGCTTGGCATTCAGACCAAAGAGTTCAATCTTGGTTTCATCAGACCAGAGAATCTTGTTTCTCATGGTCTGAGAGTCTTTAGGTGCCTTTTGGCAAACTCCAAGCGGGCTGTCATGTGCCTTTTACTGAGGAGTGGCTTCCATCTGGCCACTCTACCATAAAGGTCTGATTGGTGGAGTGCTGCAGAGATGGTTGTCCTTCTGGAAGGTTCTCCCATCTCCACAGAGGAACTCTAGTGCTCTGTCAGAGTGACCATCGGGTTCTTGGTCACCTCCTTGACAAAAGCCCTTCTCCCCCGATTGCTCAGTTTGGCCGGGCGGCCAGCTCTTGGAAGAGTCTTGGTGGTTCCGAACTTCTTCTATTTAAGAATGATGGAGGCCACTGTGTTCTTGGGGACCTTCAATGCTTTTGGTAACCTTCCCCAGATCTGTGCCTTGACACAATCCTGTCTCGGAGCTCTACGGACAATTCCTTTGACCTCATGGCTTGGTTTTGGCTCTGACATGCACTGTCAACTGTGGGACCTTATATAGACAGGTGTGTGCCTTTTTCCAAATCATGTCCAATCAATTGAATTTACCACAGGTGGACTCCAATCAAGTTGTAGAAACATCTCAAGGATGATCAAAAGAAACAGGATGCACCTGAGCTCAATTACGAGTCTCATAGCAAAGGGTTTGAATACTTAAGGTATTTCTGTTATTTTATTTTTTAGCAAACATTTCTAAAAACCTGTTTTCGCGTTGTCATTATGGGGTATTGTGTGTAGATTGCTGACAAATGTTTTATTTAGTCCATTTTAGAATAAGGCTGTAACGTAACAAAATGTGGAAAAAGTCAAGGGGTCTGAATACTTTCCAAAGGCACTGTAGGTCTGTAGTTTGATATACAAGTCGGAGAGGCAACGTAACTGTGATTTGGGATTTGGAACAAACATTCACTCACCACAAACTGAGATGTATTATGCATGCTGTCTCTCAGTGTGTGTGGTTACAGTGGTTATTGTTCTCCAAATGTGGTATAAATTATTCAATGAAGAGCTTCTGAATTCCCAGGAAATATTTTAGTGCATGTTTTATTTATCCTATTTCTTTTTATATTTATACATTCCTCGGTTTACATTTCTCTGCTTGTCTTTTGGTGTTGAATATTTGAGAGTGCCATCAATTTACAATTAAGATCAACAAAAAGGAATGTCAGTTGAGTTTTATAGCGTACTGTTTATATGACACCAAGAAATGAGAGGCTACGTCATTGTATACAGTGCAGTATATTCTTAGGGTTTCAGATAAGACTTGGACATGTGTTCTTCCATCCTCTGAAATGCTTGACGTGATTTGACAGAACATTTGACAAACAAATGCTCTGCAGGCAAGTTTTTCCACGAGTGTGTGTGTGTGTGTGTGTGTGTGTGTGTGTGTGTGTGTGTGTGTGTGTTTTCACTCTCAGGACAACATGCAAAATTGCCCCTCGGCTCCAGTCAAAATCCATGCAAAGCAAACGAGATGGCAACAATGAGAGGGGGGAGGGAGGGGGGGGGGGGGTAGAGCAAGGGGGAGAAAGAGACAGATGGACAGATTGAGAGAAGGACTGATGGACAGACAGAGAAGGAGATGAGGCTGACTCTGGCAGTGGGTTATCAGAGAAAGAGTCAGCACTGAATGAATTGGTTTTAAAAGGACAATCATTAATAATGATGTAGTGATATCTTCATATGGACGTCAGGGCCTTGTTTTGGGGTTTTGGCAGGATGATGATAATGATTGATAAAGTTGAGTTTATCCTGATTCATAACTGGATCTGGATGTGTTTCAGAGTGTATGTATTTTTAGCACAAAACAGCCGGTTTCTAAGGACTGCCACTGCCAACGTTCACCCAACAGGGGGAGGGAGGGAGTCAAGGAGCATAAAAACCATATTGGATAGTCTCCACTATGAATATCAAATAGCATGTAGCTCTCTGTGACGCCCGCCTGCTTTCCTCTCAATGATTTAAAATGTTTCGTTCTTCCTCCTCTTTTCCCTGAGCCGTCTCTCTTCCTGAGCTCTCTCTACCTGGGATCTCTCTCTCTCTCCCTTCACTCTGTCTTTCATATCAACTCTTCCTCACTCTTGGGTTTGTTTACATAACTGGCCATGTAGTTATTTCTGCCATACCCCTCTCTCTCTCCATCTATTTCTCCCTCCCCCCCTCTCCCATCTCTCCCTCCCCCCTCTCTCCCATCTCTCCCCTCCCCCCTCTCTCCCATCTCTCCCTCCCCCTACTCTCCAATCTCTCCCTCCCCCATCTCTCCCTCCACCCTCTCTCCCATCTCTCCCTATCCCCTCTCTCCCATCTCTCCCTCCCCCCTCCCCCATCTCTTCCTCTCCCCTCTCTCCCATCTCTCCCTCCCCCCTCTCTCTTCATCTCTCCCTCTCCCCTCTCTCCCATCTCTCCCTCCCCCCCTCTCTCTTCATCTCTCCCTCCCCCCTCCTCTCCCATCTTTCCCTCCCCCCTCTCTCCCATCTCTCCCTCCACCCTCTCTCCCATCTCTCCCCTCTCTCCCCTCTCTCCCATCTCTCCCTCCTCCCTCTCTCCCATCTCTCCCATCTCTCCCATCTCTCCCTCTCTCCCTCCCCCCTCTCTCCCCCCCCCCTCTCTCTCCCTCTCTCCCATCTCTCCCTCCTCCCTCTCTCCCATCTCTCCCATCTCTCCCTCCCCCCTCTCTCCCTCCCCCCTCTCTCTCCCATCTCTCCTCTCCC